AGAACTGTGTACATTTTGCGGCCTATTGCAGATATGGGATTCACTAGTCAATCGTTCCTATCTCAAAAAAAAAAAAAAAAATGATGCGCTCACTAATTAATTCCTCTAACAATATCGTTGTAAAATGATAAATCATAAAATAAGATAAGACATAAGAGGAGTAGCTATTTTGAAAGGAATTCAATAAGAATTATTTTATTTTTAGTAAACATTGCCACACTCTTCATTTACATCAAAACCCAATAAAAGAACCCCGTCTCTTGGTGTTGCCTACTTATGTGACTTGTTTTATATTGAAATCAGACAAAAGTGTAAGGATAAACTTGTAGCGTTTTGAAAGAATTTTATAGAAATTTCTAATTTTAGTACCATGGAAACACCATTCTTCAAAATAGAGATACCATCTGTCCAATTAAAAACTCACATACAGGAATATGTATCTTAATAAAGTATGCATGTGCATTAAGTCTAATTGAAATCGGACCAACATTTTAGGAGAAGTAGCAGTTTGAACGATTTTCACATTTTTCTCTATTTTTACGTCTCATTGCAACATTATTTGTCAGAATCAAATAATCTCTATTTTTACTTTTCATTGCAACATTATTTGTCAGAATTAAAAATCCAGTATACATGTAATATGATCATCTTGTGTACCAAGTCTTATTGAAATCGGGCAGAAACTGTAGGAGGAGTTTCGTTTTAAAATAATTTAACAAAAATTTCAATATTCGATCACCATGAAAACATCGTTCGTCAAAATTAAAATGCCCAGAATTATTAATCTTCTTATATTATAGTTTACTTGTGTACCATTTTTTTTTTAAATATAGAACCAAAGCTATAGGAAGAGTGACGTTTTGAAAAAAGAGACTGCTAACAGACAGAGTTTCTGACGACGGACACCTTACTAATGCTTAAGTTCTTCTGGTCTCTGACCAGTGGAGCTTATGAAGAATATAATAATTCCATCTCTGATAATTTGTCTAAAAAATCACATTCCAATTCAAGATGCAGTCAGAGTTCTTGTCACGGAATTGAGGAGTCTCGATTATATCTCGGTTATTCCGCCAGTCTCCTGAGAATGATGAGGTAACGATATTTTAAACTTTTGACAGGGGGACAACATTTAAAATAAAGTGCTTTAACAAAACCTTAAAAGCTTTATTCCTCAACCATGCAACCATTAAGCAAATGCCATTAAAATTCCCTATTTAGCAGATTTAAAATGTCAAAAGTTCATCAAACATGTATATTAATTTTTTGGTTGGTTGGCCTCTTGTATGTTAAATGTATGATATTATTATTTGTCGTGTTTCTTATGAAATTTCAAGCAAACAAACAAAAAATCCAACGCAATTTTACACAAGACAGAAACTGTATGGTAAAGTAGTACATTTATATGTACATGTCCATTAAAGTCCATATAAGTTATTTGAAATGTTACCAGCATTGATATTTACCTACTATTCAGGCAGTTTGTATCGATATACACATAACAGTATTTTTTGTCAGCAACATATCTAAAACTACACTCTATACAGGCGCTTTGCAATTCAAGTTGTAAAATGTTGTAGCAAAAAAGATACATATTTTTTTTAACTGTTTGTTTAAATTACTTATTTTAAAAGGGCCAAAATTTGGGGAACCCCGATCTTTCAACTGGCGTCATAATTTCATAAGTACTATTAATTCTGTGGAAGAGTACGCCATGCGATGAGCCAAACGTAAAGAAGACCCTGACATTTTGTCAGAATGGATTAAAAGTATCAGATGGATGTTGAAATCTCGCATTGAGCGATTGAGTGGCAATATGAAAAACCATCTATCCTATTTAGAACTGAAAAAAATCAGAGAGATTACGATCAATATGTACTGGTCCTATCTAACAAAGCAGGTAACAACATTGTCTTTGTTTGTAAGGTTCATATTTTAATTGTATTTTAGAGGAACTTGGATTTAATTCTGCAAGTGGTAATCCAACATATACCCATAGCTCCCTTTCTAAAGACGAAGTTCTTCAAAATCATATGTCACTTCTAATTTTTTTTCAATATTCCCCACAGTCAAATTGAATTTGAAATACCATACTTATACTGGACTCCTAAACTACATAAAAATCCTTACAAAGATACATAGCGGATTCCAGTAAATGACTCCTTACAAAAATACTAACTGCAGTGAAGGCGAGAGTTCAGGAGTAATGTACAACAATTTATTACATTTTCAACAGTGAAATACTGTGATTTATTTATTGAATAAAAGTCATATTCTGTCACTGTTTATAAGGATATCAAAGTGATATTCTGTCACAGTGTGAAAGGATATCAAAGTAAGTAAAAAATAATTTCTGGCCTGTCATGATAAAGATAGCATCTTGATAGAGACTAAAACTGCAATTTCTTCCCAATTATTTGCTAAAATCCATGTTAAGTACAATGTTTTCAATCCCACAATTGTTAAGCTATGACGTCTCAACCGCTCAACTGAGACGTCACAGCATATGACACTGTGTTAACAAAAGACAGAGACAAAGGAAAATCAAAGAAAATGTAATAAAAAGAAAATTCCATATTTTGTAGTTGGATATGGAATTAATTTATTTCACGAGTGAGACAGGATTTTTTTTTATATTTTCCCTAGTGCTTCGCACTGTGAAAATATCAAAATAATCTGTTCCACTCGTGAAATAAATTCCATATCCAACTACAAAACATTGAATATCCTCTATATATTCGAGAAGTGGTGTAAATCAGATGTGGATACTTAAAAACCCCAAGGAACATCTAGAAAAATTGAAATCACAAAATTTTTACCAACATCAAAAACGTTAAAACGTATGACTTTTCAACACTTCATACAACCATTCCTAACCAACCATAAATCAAAGTCCAGTGGTTTATTGATATCATAGACAGCTGCTTTTTCAATAAATATGGAACTCGTAAATGTACTTACCTTTTCGTTGCAAAATCATTTTATTAAAAAGCATTGTTTGCACACACAAGTACGTCGAAGTTGATTATAAAAAGATGCTTGAGTTTCTGATTTACAATATTTATGTAGTTTTTGGAGATCAAGTCTCCCAGCAATCTGTCGGAATTCCCATGGGTACCAACTCCGCCCCTTTATTAGCAGACTTATTTTTATATTCATATAAAGCAGAATTTATTCAAAAACCTCAACTCGACATTTAGATAGATCGACGACGTATTATCAATTAACAATAGTTTCTTCCATTCATATGTCGACTCGATACTAGTATATCCTAGGGATCTTGAAAAAAGAAAAAAACAAAAGAGTCTGACACATCTGTTTCATATTTTTGGATAATCTACTAGAAAAAGACGTTAATGGTCACCTAAAACAAAACTTAATGACAAACATGATTACTTCAACTTTTCTTTCGTCAAATTTCCTTATCTATGTAGCATTATTCCCTTATCACCTGCATATGGAGTTAACCCCCCCCCCCCCCCCCCCGTTGATTCGATATGCATGAGCATGCTCTAAGAACGAACAATTTCTAAAACGAAGCAAGCTTTTGAGAAACAAGTTAGTGAAACAAGGATATCAACAGTCTCATTTGAAGTCAACATTTTGCAAGTTCTATGGTCGATACAATGATCTTGACAGCAAATACTACCTATCATTGAGTCGAATGTTGACTGTTGTTTCCCAAACTAATTGTTAGGCCATTATTTAGGCACTGAATCGTCCCACGGATTTTTCCGTTTGCCCGTTCTTGACAAGGACCACACGGTGGGTGTGACCGGTTGACAGGAAATGCTTACTCCTCCATGACACCTGATCGCATCTATGATGTTTTTAGAGGCCCGTGTTTGTATTGTTTCACTGAACTTTTGAGTTTGATTACTGTTCGTTATCTCCATATTTCATTTATTAAACCCCTCGAAAACGAAGCTATGGAGGAAGGTATAGGAATAATATTGTCCATCTGTTTGTCTATCTGTCTGTCTGTGGAATCGTGTTTGGAGATAATTCCGTAATAAGGGAAAAACAACTCATTCTTCACATAAAGATTGCTCAGGAACCGCAGGTGAAAAATGATCTGGGCCCTAGGTCATTTCGACATTTAAAAGGTCACTGAAAAAATAATTGTATCATTTATGTCCAGTCCAACTTTCTAATGGATAAAAATTTGACGTTCATACTTAAAACAAATATTACGTATCACCTGCGCATGTGTCATGACCCCATCTCAATATGAGTAAAAAATTCTCGAAGGGGCGTTAAATAAATGTTGCAAACAAACAAATCAAAATTAAACAAGACCTTGACGCAAGGTCTTTTTACATGAAGAAAAATGTATATTAGTAATTCCTGTTCTGGTCATATCTTAAAATGTAGTTCTAAGCTCGTATTTTAAGCAGATTGCTTTGAGCAAAGGGTGTGGAATTTGGGCAAATTCAAGGTCACTGGCAGAAAAAAAAGTGTATAATTCGAGCCCAGTTAAAAAAGTTCTAAAGGATAAACAATGGAAGTTCATAAAGTTTATTTAAGATCTCTGTGTATGTCAAGTTCGAGGTCACAATTTAAAAAGGTGTAAATTCGTGCTCGGTCAATATCTTTCTAATGGAGAAACTTGTAAAGTTAATACATTTCACAAAGATTATCTATGACCTTGGGTGTGCCATGACCTTGGTCCAAGATCATTATACAATTTCAAGATTAATGGCTGAAAAATGTAAAATTTTCCTTCAGCCCTTACTTATGACTTGTGGGATTTGTCATGACCTTGACCAAGGTCATATGTGCAAGTCTGAGGTAACTCCCAGAATTTTTGTTATTTCTACACTGGCTATATCTTGCAATAAAGAAACATGAGATGCAAATTCTTGCCTCAAACATTGCTAGTGACCTGAGTGTGATATAACCTTGACCCCATATCAGTTTGGCAAGTTTAGGGTCAATGGTAGAAAGAAGTGTAAATTGTGTTTCAAACATTGGATGCAACGAATCAAAAATAAAGGCAGTAGTGATGAACTGTAATTTTATGAGTTCGCTCAAAGCCTGTTCATGTGATTCAAAAAATAGAAGTTACACATAATGAAGTTCTAAATACTTCAAGACTTTGGTAAGTCCACTAAACATTTCTCCAACCCAAATATTGTCATTGTCATCTAAAGACAAGCTCGATGGTAAACGCAATTGTCCAAGAATTCCTTGACCAGAAGTATCCAAAACACCTAGCCTTGTTCCATTCTCGTTCACCACATGAATTATGTTGTTAATGTCGTCTGCCACAATGATGTGAGACAGCTTAATATTACAGCATATACCACGGGGTCTGAAACTTTTTGATTTGCCACCATGATAGTTATATCGAAAGCTACCCGAATTTGTCGTAACTACAATCCTGTTTAAGTCTGAAACACAAATGTCACCATTAGAGTTTTGTGTTAGAAAAGATGGATATTTAAAGAGACGTCGGCCATTTTGTGTTATTTCTATTTCTTCCATTTTGGATCCATCGCTTCCAAACCTGTCAATTTTTGCTCGCTGATTATTGCAAACAGAAACTAAAATGTCTCCATTTCTACAACAGTGTATTCCATATGGTTTGAAATCTCCTGTACTGCAAATTTGCTCTATTGTCTCTCCCTTAACTTTATACACAGATTTATTGGTAGAGGAACAGAAAATCAGTTCTCTCGATATCGACATGGACATCCCACTTACACCATGTTGATCTGGAGTTTTGACAACTTTTAGTTCCTTGCTTTTTTTATCCAGTAACTTAAGCCGTGGTGCGTTGCCGCTGTACCATGCGGTCTCCGAATCCACACAACAAACATGATGAACAGAAGATAAACCAGAAGAAATTATGTTTGTAACGAGTGGTTCTACAAGGCGCGGTACTTTCTCATCTCTTGTTTTGGAAATTTGCACTTCAGCAAACATAATAGGAGATTAGCACGTGTTCCTAGAAAATAAAGATACGATTTCTATTATACATAAGTTTATGAATTTATTTACATGTGCTATGTTCGTAGGACAAAATGTTCATTAGTAATTTTTTGTAAACATTTCAATAAATAATTTTCCATTCGATCTTGATTCCAAACCTCTGTGTTATCACAAAAATTCAATCCAAGATTCTTTTTCACTGTCTATATGTTTATTTTATTGCAGGGCCAGAATGTTAACTGTATTATTCTGCCAATAAATATACCTTTCTTTTTACATGTATGATTTCGAGTTTAAACATATGCAGGCTAAAAGTTGGTTGTTAAACGTTATTTCAGAATAACACAGAAAAGTTTATGTTACGAACACATAGTGGAGTTTCATTACAATTGAACAAACTGATATATTTGGATTAAAACGTTTATGATTGCAATAAACATATACTTGTTTAAGGGTACAAGTTCGGCCAGCTATGAAATGTTTCTCATCTTCTTTATACTTTTATTTGTATATGTTCGGCCATAAACAGACCAGCTACTTTACAATTTTTACATACACATGTCTACCGCTATTTAAATTAGTCATAAAAACTATATATACATCTTAAAATGAAAATTTTCCTGACGACTATCAGAATAGACCTACCCCGAACAGCTGTTTTTATTTTGACTCCTCGTCGCCATTGCTGTCTCGTCCTGTATCTATGATTTCGCTATTGATTTTTCACTTTTACTTGTTGAAGATATTTAAAGTTAACACAAACTTCTTTTGTGATGTTTTGTTTTGTCATCGTGTTGTCGTAGTTAGGAGTTTTATTACCAATTGCAAAGACCCGAATGTGGTTTAAATAGCATTTTATTGCCGTTTGGTCTTTGAATTAAAAAAGTTAAAATATGGAACGATAAAGTTTTTTTTAAACATTAAACTCTCTCCCTCTCTCTCTCTCTCTCTCTCTCTCTCTCTTGTAGATTCTAGTGCTATCAATTAAAAGAAACAACAACGCCCGTGAAAAGCACATACATATACAGTGTACTTGTATCAACACCTTTATCTAAATCGAGAAAAAGTAAGCACCTGCAAACATAGAATTATTTTAATATTCAATAAATCATTAGCACCCCCCTTAACTCTTTGTAATAACTTCCAGACAGACATCCATAAAGTGTTATTTAAAGACATAATTTGTCCGTTGACAATTATAATGATTCGGCTTTGGAGTTTTACAGGATGAAAGAACGATGAAACACATCTTTTTTTCCATAAAAAAAACGAGGTTAATACAAAGATATTTTGAATTAATGTTGAATATTTTTCTTAATTGATATTTCCGAAGAAGTCGAATATGAAATATCCTTTGTTTGAAAGGTACGTACTATTAATATCACTGTCGGGGTGGAGGGGGATGGGGTAGACGTCACAAATACCTTTGATTTCATGGGTTTCAACAGTTTTTCCCTACAAGTTTAACAACTTGCGTCAATTTCTCCGAAAGTACATGGTTTATAAAACTATTAAATTTATACCGAGGGAAAATCGTTGAAATAAAATTAAAGTCTTTATTAAATGATGGACATATTTCTTTTTTTTTTTTACACTATAGCACACCTTTTCGACCCTGACTAGGAATCTAGGCGTAATCTCAGGTTGTGAGGAGGAGGGTTTGATTGGAGCTTTTTATCGCGATTGTTTATATATACTGTCCTTCCCGATATACTTTATTTTAACAAATAAAATAAACACCATGACTATCTTAATTGTCATGTACAAATTTTGCATAAGAAATATCAATTTTCTTGTACATGACAATACCATATAAAAAGATCTTTAAAATTATTAGACATAATGCCTTCCAAACAATTAAAAAAAGAACAGGATAACGTATCATAAGATTTCTGAAATTCAAAATTCAGTTGTTGTGGGCTTTTTTTTCCCAGGTGTCAGAATTCTGAAATAACGAAACGTGCATGGCGAGATCGCTGAGTCTCTCGAACGCGCGGTAACTCGGTATAGCTCAGTCGTGTCGCTCTGTATATAATGTATGAACAAGTATTAGCTTTCCTAAAAAGCTTGTCTGACTTGAGCAAATTTATTTTTACCCGAAGAATCAAGAAAAGTTAAATCCAGTGTAACCAACATGACTCTGAGTCATGAAATGAATTAGCACTAAGAAACAAGAAAAGTTCAATTCAGAAACTTGGACATGCGTTTATTCTATCAGAGACGTGATTCTATATACATTATATTATTTTTAAATTCTTCTTTTTCATGGACGTAGGAACCGGGGGGGGGGGGGGGGACCGTGAGCTCAATAATTTCGAGGATTTATACATAGGTACTTTATGCTTGTGTCCCCTGAATTATGTAAATATTAACTTTGGATAAATTTTTTTATGCCCGATAAGGAATTTTTCCTTGATTGTGTCCACCCGAAACTGAAATTTTCTGAAATTTATTCCAACGGGCCTGTTAATGAATAGAAAGATATAACCAGTGCTTTTGAAAGAAAAAGTTACAACACATAAAAATCTAAACATCAATTGGTAAACAATTTTGATAATTAAGAAATGTCTTATTAAAAATAATAAACATGTTTCAAGTGAGCTAATATCTTTGCAATTAATTTAAAGCAAAAGAATATTCAACATTTATCCTTCACTTTGATATTTTTTTTAAACCATGAATAAATCAAACGTCTGCTAGTTATGAATATGTGTAGATTTATAAAAATTCTAAAGGAAGAGGGACATAGTGCATGCATTGCAAATAAACATCCAATCAGTAGTTTATCTGATAGTGTTGTCCTGATTAGTTTCATTCCTTCTGTTTTTGCTGGACATGAATGATGCAATTTTCGAGAATGGCCAAAAGTTATGTAACCTGTAATGTATAATGTGATAATAATGGCATCGGCTCCAATACTCTGGCTTGTTTGGGTGTTTAGCATGTTTCCTTTACTCCACATGCTCGCCAATTAATAGTTTAGATAGTATGAAGTTTCCAAGATCAAGTTCTCACAAGAATTCTATTGAACGACTTGACCAACAAACCTTGGCTAAATCTAATACTGTCTGACGCCATGACGTCAGACAATGAACGCGGAAGAAATAGTTTTTTTTTTCATACACATTTTGTAGACAATTCGTTTTATTCTAATTTTACACAGGTGAGCTTACAAATATCTAAAGCACATCTAAATCTTGTTAATAACCCAATGAACCCACCCAGTGGCAAGGCAGCTTGGCAACACAAACCCGAACACGTAAAATTAGGAAAAATTAATAGAAGTGCAGGAAAAGTAGCTGTCTAGAGATGATTTTCAGAAGAAATGTAGTAAAATAAATTCTCGTTGCAGTGAATTGTTTTTAACTCTCTTTATTTCATCGTCGGAAACCAGTCTGATTAAAACCAGACCCCTCCTATTCATTGTCGTCAGGGATTAAAACCAGCCCCCCTTCTCCTAGAGACCCTGACGACGATAGGAAAAGAGAGGCTGGTTTTAATCTGGAAACCCACGGCCAATTTAATATAGGTGCATGCTCCCTCGTGCAATTTAGTAAATGACGAATGATAAGTTTATATAGGTTTACCCCTCTATATTATAAAATCATAATATTTCATATTTTTATAAATGTAGAGAAGTAGACATAGATAGAATTATCATTCGCCATTTACTAAAATTAGATGGAGAGATGGAGTGCGATCCCGCATACCAGTGACCATGTTTTTTTTCTGACGATGCTTGTCTTTGAAATAAAATAAAATAAAATTACTAAGATAAATAAAATCAGAATGCAATTTTTATATGAGAAACATTCATTTCCTAAATAAAAAATGTTCAAGATTTATGATAAGCAAATATTCGAGCTTCAATAAATTTAATTTAGCGCCTCAAAGGGAACTTTTAGCCTCGTTGTCCTTTGCTTGATAAAGAATTATTAAAATTAAAAGTTACTCAGGCAATAAATATCGAAATAAACCTTGAATCACCTCATTCAAATTCAAAACAAAACAACGGAACAATTATATATATCACTCGAAATTAGAAATGTACGATCATTATCAGCATCTTTTAAAGCTAAATTCGATATTCACATTTTAAGACTAAAATTTAATTCAGTATTAGAGAGTTTTGTCCACCATATGACCCATATAAGTGTATTTTCATTGGAATCGCACTGTGCTCAAAATGGAAGATACAATGTATATAACATATTATTTTTTTATTTGTAGAGTTTATAATGGTGGCAAAGAAGTTTTTTTTGGGGGGGGGGTGTTTGGGGGGGGGTACAACTTGATAAAATTCATATTATAGATGCACATGTTTAAAAATACATGTATAGGGTACAGATTCATTGAATGCTGCAAAGAATTCACAATCTTTTCTCATTTGTTCAAAATTTTATAAAACATTCTGGCATATATACTTATTATTTAAATATATATATATATCAGTATATATTGAAAATGTATGAAGAGAATATCTATGGAAAGTATTGTAATTATTAGTATATGCATGTACGTCCCTGCTACAACAAATGAAATGTATTATGTAATCAGTATCAATGATAATGGAACTGATAAAAGAAAACTATAATTAAATCTGGAATTAATTTGAGAAAAAAATATTTATTTATTTATTTATTTATTTATTTATTTATTTATTTATTTATTTATTTATTTATTTATTTATTTATTTATTTATCGAAGCGTTGCATGTAATTTATTCACTTTATCATTATTATTATTATCACTATTATTCTGGTTTAGAAGTATTACATGTAGTGAGACTTGTACGTATTCGTCTGTCACACGGTCGTTTACTTTCATTAGACGCACCAGCTCTAGTGCGAGATTACACGAGATTTCACGCGGTAGTGTATTTTCAGATTCAATATGGCTACAACTACAGCCAAATTTAACGATATATACGATCTCAAAGAGGAATTGGGAAAGTAAGTACACGTTTTTTTTTTATACAGCATGTTTATTTGACATTGCGATAAAAAACGTATATTCATTTTAGAATCCTCTTTCAAATTATATTCATTATTGTGTATGAATGAAATTCTACTGTGATGCTATGATACGGAGGAAAAAAATCAATACTTTCTCGATCTGTGATGAGAGTACAAATTAATTGATTATATGCGTTTCATGTGTTTGAAAATTACTGCAATTACAAGATTTACACCCGTTACATTTTGAAAACGGTCTAGCTGCTGATTTGTTAGAAACATTCAAAGGAAACACCCATTTTCGGGTAGAGTTGTTCAGTGGACGAAAGAGTAAAGTCTGCGTTGTTGTAAATTCAATTATTGATGGTTAAATAAACTGTCAATGTATTATATGGATTTATCGACGTTTTAGAGGCCTGACACCGTTGCCCTGTGATAGTTTAGATAGATGAGGGCAATGGTAGTTGCAGGGTAGTTATAGAATGGTGCAACAGGTTGAAATTAATTGATATTCGGTAAACTAATATTAAGCTTTTCCTCAGGGGTGTAATTATATAGATATGGTAGTAAAATTTAGAGGATAATGGTGGAAATGTCGATATGAATGAAGTTGAAATTCTGCAGAGCTGTATATTTTTTGGTATCTATACTTGCATCATGCACATGATGCATCTATACGTTTTAAATGATGATGGAAAGTATCATACTACTGGAGCTACATCTTGTAAGATTGAAACAATGAGGAAGAAAAAAAGCAGTTAAACAAATGCTAAAATCTAAAGGACACATATTATTTAGATTTCACTAAGACAAATGTAGACTTTATAGATTTAATTCTATACTGAAGCAGAATTTTGTATCTATAGTAGCACACAAAAATAAAATTTTACAGGTTACAATTTACTCAAAATTTAAACTTGTATTATTTTAAAAATAGAAAGATTTTATCTTCTCTTTGATAATACATCTTTGTTGAAAATGAAAGAATATATTGACATATCCGTTATTCAACTTTGATTCTCATACAATAAAATTTTATAGATTAATCAATTTTTAAGTTTTCTCATGACTACCAAAAGTTACCTTACAATTTTTTTTTTTTTGGTTATATATTTTAACATATATTATAAAATGATTCACAATTATGACAACTACATCCTATGGAGAGACCATGCAGCTATGAGGTTTTATGATATCATTTTCATTGATGATACAAATTTACACATGTAGGTTAGATACAACAATCAATATTTAGTCACAAAGATACTTTAATTATTTAAAAAGCATACTGAAAGGAAAATTTGCAAGTAGAGGGTCCGTAGGGAAATCATTGAGGCATGCTGTCAGTGAATTCCGATTAATGACTACACCCTATTTGTTCTCAATCCTGCTGACACTGATGTAATGGTAGATGTATTTGTTGATGGGAGAACACTTCAGCTTCAACTAAGACTTATTATACATGTTAAATTACTGAAAATTAATCTCATTACTTCATATAATAGTGGTTTGGTAGCTTATTCATCTATGTAGCTTTTCTGATGATTATTTATGATTAATATACTATAATATACTTGGGTGAGTTTTTATATGTAATATATAACATTTAACTAATTACATGATTGATATTTGGACCCATGATATATATTTGTGTCTGTGTGTAATACCGAGTTAGATTGAAGACCATGTAAACAAAGAAGACATTGTTTTTGAAGATTTCATTTTGGTATCTGAAGAAACATATGCAACGATGCAATTATATAAATGTCAATGGCATGTATTTAATTATTTATATAACATAAGAACTCAGAAGCTTATAATGGCTTTGTTATTATCCCTGTGTCTGTAGAGCACATTATTGATAGAATCATGATAGTATTGGGTGCAAGCTTGTGTATTGACTTCTGTTGGAATTTTTTCTCGGTAGACAAGATAAACGGTTCCCAATTTTTCTGTCAATCGCACCAAGTTTCTGTTCATGCTAACAAACTCCCTCACCTGAAGAGGGAAGGGGGTTGCAATTGTTTATCCATGCTGCAGAAAATTCTCCAGTACCTTTGTTTAAAAATAGGATGAAATGTAGTGCACAGAGGTCAAATTTACACTATATATACAAACAAATGTGCAAGTGATACAGAGTGAAATTCAGTGGTGGCATTTTTTTCTATATATTTTTCTATATATACATAGAAAATATAGGTATTGATAAGTAGGTTAACCTGTAAGCTGTCTTCTCAAGTTTCATGACAAGGTACCCGTATATTGAAATGCAATAATGCCTGTGTATTGAGGCGTGTACATACATTGAATACCTAGGTTTTGTGTACGCAAAGTATTTGTTAGCATTTGTTGTGTTATTTATATATACACTCTTACACTGAAAGTCATGCATTTGAATATATTTGGGTTAATAATGGATATCTTCTCCGGACAAAATGTTATGTTGAAAGAGGAGAACTGAGTCATCAATTGCATGGATACAAAATGCACAATGAGTATTTCGAAACATTCTGTCATGCATGAGGAAAAATAATTATGACAATTTTCAAAATTTGGGTTTATGTTTATTACTTGGTAAGATTTGTATTACAACATCAAGGACAAACGTGTGCCAATTTAAGTTTCATGTGAACCCATAGCCATCTCCCCCCTTGACATTAGAAAAGGCTCTGTTGATTTGTGCATATGATACATGTATGCTACAGACTCAGATCTAAGGGGTACAGCAAGTTGTCTTAAAATCTAAGTCTATTGATATTATGAATACATTTCCTGCCAAGGAAGTGAAAAAATATTTTCTCATACGCTCTAAAGTAACAGCTGCAAGGATACAGTTATATATCTAGATTTTATAGATGATATGGCTTACATATGGTAAAGTGTGTATGATGTCTGTATGATGAAATGTCTAAATACAGGCCAGGATTTGACATGGTCCTGTAACAACATTGGACAATAAAAATTTAGCCCCAAGTTAGGAGTTGACAACATCATAATCTGGCCCTTGACATAGTTTTATGTTCGGTGGAGGAATATGTAATGATTTTATGGTAGAGGTGCACATGCACTTATCACAAAGATAAAGAATTGATTAATTTTAATGAATTCATGTATACTGATGTTTGTCTTTGCTGCTGTGTAGTACAGAAAATCAATTCTAAGACTGATAGGATAATTTTACATTTAATAATTGGATCTAGATACATCGTTTAAATTTTTATCCATAATGTGATGTACATGTGTCCATTGTACATCATTGAAGAAGCTGGTCCCTTCTCCCAAATACTATTGTCCTTGATAATGATTAGCATACCATAGATATTATAAATAGTTTGTCTTAATGTTAAAGATCTAATCAAGACACATATTATGTTCAATGCATTGTCACACGTCACCTAGTTTTTCAGTGCTCCAGGATTGCATAGAAGAGGGGTGTACATGGTGAAGAAGACATGTTTTAATAATAAGAACCAGATTTTTATTCTCAACTAAGTTTTAAAAGTACAGAATCATAGTACTCATACATGTTAAGGGTTTTTTTTTTAGTACAGTGCAAAATAATATGCTACATAAATAGGCTAAAATAGCATAGATGTTACACACTTAGTGGTTTCCAACATTTACTGATGGCTCTAACATTTACCAATTAACACATCCTCTGTTATCCATTTTCTCATCAAATGTGCAACAGTCATGTAATTGTCTCAAGACCTTTTTTGTCATTTTTTTATTTGTAGTACTGTAATCTTTAATCATGAAAATATAGAGAAACTAAGGATATTTTGGAAATCTTTAGTTGTTAACAAAAGTGAAATAAACAGTACTTGACTGAGTACAGTGAGATCTATAGTATTGAATACAAAGTGTGCCTTTAGCCTGACAGAATTGTGAGTGTCTTGTCAAAACACAAGAGATTTTAAGGGATGGTCCAATTTTGCAGCTTTCAACAGGTAGTTTTTCTGCATCTTGCTAGATACTGTTGTTTGTGGTACGAGATACACATTAGATTCATATGTGATTCCTAGAAGCTTTTAGGATTACGTAACTGGTACAATTTGTCAGAAAATGCAGTTATTTGTGGAAGAAGCTAAAATTGCGTGGACATCTTCAAATTGAATGCCAAAGTACTATATGTGTCATATTTACATACACTGTGATAGGATGAGAAATTTGTGGAAATGTACAAATAACGTTAACCTTAAACAACAAGTGTAATGTAACAGCTGGTGCAAATTAAAATTTATTTTAATGGATTTTTATAAGACAGAAGTCTCAAATTCCTAAAGCACTGTGTTTTAGAGTGGTTAATTAGACAATACAGGAGTGTATTATTTATTAATTAAAAAAAGATAGGACTATCTTAGCATGCAATCCTACCTGTCATTAATAGCTTATTAATTTGGTAGTTTAACGAATTAAAGAAAGGTTGTGGTATTTAACGACACTGTAGTTTGGGTCAGCAATGTCGAGACTGCTTAATTATAGTTGTTTTTAGTAATTTATGTATATTTTTGCGTACTGAATATTGATACTACGTTTTGTGCATGCAGTTTTGACCCTTGCTCTTACCTACCACAGAAATGACTCAACCTTTTTGTCTTCACCTAAATCAGGATAATCTGATTTTAGTTAGGGACACAATGTTTCCTCATGAGTTTGGCCATGTTATGTTACATTTTCTTTGGAATATTTCCATGAGTCCCCTAGGATGCAAGTCCCACAGAGAGAGAGAGAGAGAGAGAGAGAGAGAGAGAAATAGTTTTAGGGTATACATGTTTTGGGTAGATTGGGATTTTTTTTTAAAGTATTTTCCCTCGCACAGGCATGTAATAGCAGAAAATGAAGTTCCTTAAATGTAACTCAAGACCCCACCCTTTACATGGATTGCAAAATAGCTTTGCATGACTGTGTGTGTGACATAATTTGAAATAGAAAGGAATACTTTAGGTATTTTTATCAGATTATGCCAAAATAATTCTCATTTATATGGGTGAGGTTGTGTGGGCGTTGTGTCAAGGACCATGTGTCTCTTTATTTATGTTTATGGCGAGCCTGTCGACCTTTTTTTGTTGACCTTTTTTTTTTGCACATGTCTGATGGTAGCCACCACAGCTATATTTCACAGAAAAGGACACTTGTATGCTGTAGGATGAATGATAAAAAATAAAATATTTATTTGAATAATAGCTGATACAGAGAACAAGAGAAATAATTTTACACAGTTCAAATTTTTGTTTGAAAATGGCTAGCCAACAATTGTAGAAATAATACTTTAGTACCGGTAGCTGAAATTATGCCATGCAACTGACCAGATTTACAATTATTGTAGCTACATGTAGTTATCATTATGAAAGTACATAACTTTGAATATTTGTCACACAATACAATGTGTCCAATATGATGATGATTCATAATATCTTTTCATTCTTTTCATTTCAGAGGAGCATTTTCCATTGTAAAAAGATGTGTTCAGAAAACAACAGGTTTAGAATTTGCTGCAAAAATAATCAACACACGCAAACTTTCAGCCAGAGGTAAGGATGCCATGAATGATGGATGTACTTTATTGTAGTGGATACAAGTTTGTGTTGAATCTATGCGCAAGTTGTAGGATTATTTTTGATTTAAAAAAATCAGCCTTTAAGGTGTTTCTGACCAGATTCATGAATTTGCTAAATAGAAATATCAGCACATCACAGGCTAAAATTCATATTTAATAACTTCACTTATTTGACAGACTAAGATATAGAGGAAAAAGCCTCAAACTTTCAAAGAATCATATGTGATGTCGTAACTTTTAATGTATGAGATATATAAATATATGTACATATCCACTGCATAAAGGTGTACATGTGATAAATACAGTTAAACTTCGGCATCTCGAACACCGATTTCTCAAATACCATGGATATGTAGAAGTGAGTTTGAAATCCCAACCACTTTCTCTGTATCTTGAATCTGTAGATGTCTTGAAGTTTTTCTATGCCCCCATTGAGTTCATAGGTAATGAGGTTTGACTGTATGTGTAATTTAAATATAACAGAGAGATATTTTTTAGAATGAGAAGTCAAAATGTGTGAATGTATTTTCTATTACTCTCATTACCATAAGATGTCACTTTGTTGTTCAAAGCATTTATGCAGTAACATTATTGTCACCTGTAGTAGCTTTTCTTCATTTGCATCATATTCTTTTTGCAGATCACCAAAAACTAGAACGGGAAGCCAGAATTTGTAGAGCATTAAAACATCCAAACATAGGTAAGATTTTCTGAGGATTACAGAAATAGAGAGAGAGTGTGTCCTTTATTCAAAGAAAACAGGAAAAATGTTTTACATCTGAAAAGCTCTGAGGATACAATACACTTCTAACTGTAAGATAAGTTGCTTTTTTCTTCCTGACTTGTACTATTCCTATGCATCAACACATGATCAAGAGGGAAGTTATACGAAACCATAAGTACAT